CACAGACCGTGACAGAGAAATTCCATACCCATCACAGACCATGACAGGCAGGCTCCGGACCCATCACAGACCGTGACAGACAGGCCCGGAATCCATCACAGACCGTGATAGAGGAACTGTGGTTCTAAAGTATTAGATAAACGGTTAGCTACAAATGTATCGAAAGAAATGGAACAAAATGATTTCCATTTAACTAGTAACAATAGATTCATCGTGTTTCACATTTTTAATCCCGCAAGAGATTGCGCTAACAGCTGTTATAGTTAGATATGATCCCTATATTATTTTATGCAGGTTAATATATGGTAGCGAATTGTCGGTATTTTGCAATAAATCTAGACAAAACGAATGAATTTAATTTGAAATATTTATCTTTACTGATCATTCTTCAAATATGGTCTGAAATACAAATAAAGAAATGGCAGTAAAATTCAAATGAATGGTTAATAACAAGAACTCATTGTTCTGAATTTGCCATACTGAGAGTACGCTAATTTTATCAAAAGTGAATAGATGATATATGTATAGCTATGATTGTTCTATTGTTTTAGTAAAAAATCTTTCGTGATCACATAAACAATCACCTCATGTCGGTTTTAACAATAATCGTCCCTCTAATACATAGTTAATCTTCACAACTGTTGTAAATTCATTTTAGAGGTATCATATCTATCTTGATGTGTTTTTTTCTCACGTTGATTTAGATAGGACGATTTGCTATTCTTTTGTATGTTTCAAATATCGTTTAATCATTTTACTGAAATCATATCGTCGATTCATTACCACGCCTTGAGAATTTTTCTTTTTTTTACGTTCATTATCGTAGTTGATGTAGATCGATACTTTTCTTTGTTCCAATAATGAGTTAATTATATCTTCATTCAGTAATCCTGAATAGTATTTTTCTCTTTTCACCAGATATTTATTCGAAGAAAATTGAAGAAATCATCGATTGGACTGATCTGTTACAATCTATTGATTCATCTCTGCTGAACACCATCCATTTGTGAATAACAATAAACTACCGTCTGAACATGTAACACAAACCCAATCTTTTTCATAAAAAAAATTTGGCATTGTTCAAAAATCGTGGATTTTTCATTAGAAGTAAATACTTCTTCATTATTAATTACAAAACATCGAGAAAGTATTGACCATCAACACATATTTCGAATACGATCTCCATGATTGAATAATATCTTCTTTGTAACAGTCAAGTGACGATCTAACAAGGATGAATTATGATCATGCTCCGTTAGTCAATGTTTTACGCAAGCAGTCAATGACCAGTGTGTGAAGTCCAGAAATGTGACAGTACGATGTGGAAAACTAAGAGAAAAGATATTCTCGACTATGGATAAAAAAAAACCACGAGACTGTCGTCAATAGTCAATGAACAAAGACGAAACCGAAGATGTTGAAGTTCATTCAGACTTTCTTCGATCAATCGTAAATATTCTGATGAGGAATTAGCATTCTCATCGACTGAAGCGTTTTCTGACATGTGTTGAGACATTTTTGTTTGTTTCTCTTCTATTATTTTGCTTAGTACATGAACTAATTTACCCGATTCTATACTCTTTCTTTCGAAGAACCAGTCTATCGTTACAGTGCACATCACTGCGCCATTGTTTTAATTCCTGAAGATATGTTGCTTGAATCCAATTAAACCGGCTGGAAACATCATTCATCTATCTTATTAACAATGGATGAAACATGGATTTTCAGCTGCTCTTCACGGTTTTTCACCTGTTTTTGGCATAAGTAACTCTGAAAACAATTACTTAATGTATATAGACAAATATGAATCACGCAATGCAATGAAGATGAAGTTATTGGAATTGTTTCAAAAGAGGTGAGTGAATCACTCTAAAAAGTAATTAGTGTGAAACGAAATAAACAAACTTGAACTTTACACTTTTCGTTCTTCTGTCAGATGTAGCCTGTCGTGAACGTACAAAATGAAAGAAAATGAAAAAGTATTATAGCACTCCATTATACACCAGCATTCATGGTTCCATTCAAAACATGTTTTTTTCATTCAAAGTTTTTTATCACACATAGTATATCGATTGTGCTTCGATTAGTAACATGATCTTTCGTGTCCTATCTTTAGCATTGATAACATATTGATAAACAAATTAAAAAAATTTGTCAATATTTTGCTATTCTGATAGAACTATAATGTGTGTCTGTATCTAACGTATTTTTGTCGTTTATCTAAAGGTACATATGTACATCTTCAGCAGTAATATAGATTCAAATTTTAGAATTTAGTCCCAATAAACAAGAGTTTTTCAAAAATCCATATTTTCCACATATTCACAGTCTGCTTAAAAACTTTTATCATTGAATCGCTAGAACAGCTATTTTCAAACAGCTAAGACTAGAAAGAAATAGGTTACTTCAAGTCGAAAAGCACATCAAAGTACAAAAGTAGTCCAAAGTAAGTAGAAGCATTTCAAAGTCAGAAGAAGAAGCTTCAAGTATGGAGAAATAATTTCGCGCACAACAACGAAATACTTGGTGACTACACAAAAGTGCAGGAAAGTGCTTAAAAATATTTTTCAAATTGTAGTACGATGCTCTATCTAGGATTGTCTACGTTTTTCTTTTATCTTTTATCTTTTATATAAATTATTTAAATATTTCTATAATAATACAATTTGTATTTCTTTTTGCACTTATATATACATCGAGTTTTTTAAAGATATGAACCAGTCAGAATCTGATTGATCGACTGAACCTGTAATTACAACATCTAGAATGTATGATTGCGGTTATATTGTGAAACTTTTAGATAGTTTCAAATAGTTTGAAGCGACTTGATATATCTTGAAACAACCTAAATGAATTTTGCGTGCAAAAATCTGCTGGTTTCTTCTTCGGCTAAAATACACAATCAATGTAATACCATTCTTTGTGCCTATACTAACAATTATAAAGAATTCGTGAACGCATTGCAGATATTGAGACATTGAGTGTGGAATAGTGACTATTCTACAGTTGCTTTCTGTGTGGTTGAAAAGTATCTATCAGTTCGTTTCGAATGCCGAGCTCTAGGTGTTGATTATAATAACTATTTTCCATTCGTAGTAGTATTGACATTCGCATCTCGAAAAATTGCTAAACAACTTGAACCAATGCTAATCTTCAATTGCAATATGGATCAAACGAAAGAGCTTGTTTTCATAGTCAAGACGTTGAAAGACAGGTACAAGCATGCGAAGAGAAGGTCTTCAAACCGATAACATATCCTCATATGTTCACACATTCACATCCACACGTTGCTATTTAATAATTACAAGCCACAAGCTATCTGTATACATTACGAATGTCAATATTGTGTCAAACTTGTGTCTCTTGATGTTAAATCTTAAAAACAATCAAGACAAAAACTCGTTTCAGTTACCATGTGGTAGCAGAAACGAAATTACATAGAGTAAAAATGATTGATTCTTAGAGAACTATTCTTTCTTTCTGAATCATTCTCATGAGTGGTTGAATCTAGCAACAGACTTACTTAATTCAGTAACACAACAGTTTCACATATGTTGCAATTTATTTCTGAAACATGTTCATCCCTTATATATAAATGCAATAAACAGAACGAAATTCCGTTTTAATCATCAACAATTTGCAAAAACTTCTCACTTAAGCAGTTTACGTTTTTACAAGGCTATCATGTGAACTTTCGTTCATAAAAATCGGGTCTTCATTATATGAGGTACTCTGCCAATTTACTCCGAAATCCTGGATAGATGGAACAATCGAGCATTCATACACATTGGTACATATCGAAATACATTGCTTTTCTCATTCATTCAACTTGAGTTCCTTGAGAGAAGTCAAGACAATTGATTATGTTCTGTGTGAAGTTCGTCTAAAAAGATTTGCCATCGATAACAGAGATTTAGTTTCTTTATGCTACATTGAGAATGATCCATGAGTTCTCAAAAAAAACAAAAATTGGTCTTGTTGAATTTGAGTAGATTCATTTTAGAGATCGATATTTTTTTATGTTTCCGTCTTGTCTCCTCCGAAAAATTATCATTTTGTCATGGTCATATAAAATGCAAGTTCTAATTCAGTGCTTCAATTTTCAGATCTTAAATAGAACCCTCGTCATATGTAGAATAATATATACATGTCTGTTGTCACATCAATATGGAGCAAAAAATAATAATTTATTGTTGTAAGCAAAGTGTTCACCGACAAAAAAAAAACTAGTATAAACTACTCTTGAAGATAAGCTGATATATATGAAAAAATGATAAAAAAAGAGTTTGTTCAATTGAACGCAATCTAAATTTGATCTGCATCTTTTTCGCCAAGACAAACTGTGCGCACAAGAAGACTAGTTACAGAATAAGGATCGCAATTAGAGGCCGGTCGACGATCTTCGAAGTAGCCACATCGTTCTTCGTCACATTGGCGAGGAATTCGAATGGACGAGCCGCGGTTGGCCACGCCATAACTAAATTCATGAATCTAGGTAGAGAGAAAAGGATTTTATTAGCAATAGAGTCACTTCGATTTCAACCCAAAATCATGATCATCCGTAGCCTTGTTAGCTGTAAGATAGCTAATATTTTTCTAATCTATAAGATAGAATAACAATATGAAGAAAACATACGCTGGCGGTTTCATGTTTTCCCGTCAATCGACGTTCATTATCTTTGCCGTAAACTTTGATGTGTGTTTTATGTCGCAATGAGAGTTTTTCGATTGCAGTCTTAATTTCTCTAAAAATTGAAAACAAAAATAGAGCACTGACGCCTTTCATTGTATCAATCAGATGACTTACTCGATACCGTTGGGTTCACGCATGGCTAATGTCGAAAAATTTGTGTGACATCCAGCTCCATTCCAATCACCAGCAATCGGTTTTGGATGGAAGCTCACTTGAATACCGAATTCTTCGGCCATACGTAACAGCAAGTATCGTGACATCCAAAGCTGATCGCTGGCATCAATGCCTTCACATGGACCCACTTGATATTCCCATTGGGCTGGCATAACTTCAGCATTCGTACCTCGAATATTTACTCCGGCATAGATACATGCTTTGTAATGTGCTTCAACCAAGTCACGACCCAATGCCAAACATGCTCCAATGCCACAATAGTACGGACCTAAAATTCATCAAAATGAATTGCTTAACATTATCAAGTGTTGTTTGAAGTGTCAAGTAAACCTTGTGGTTGAGGATATCCTCCTTTGGGCCATCCGAATGGCCATCCATCTCGATCCATCAATGTATATTCCTGCTCAAGACCAAATAATGGACGTTGATCTTTAGCAGCTTCCATGGCAGCAAGACAATCGACTCGATTATTGGTAACTAGAAATTTAACGATAAAAATTGTAAATGTCTATATTAAGCATAATTGATTCTTACAAGTCGGTTTCTTATCAAAATTGTATGTTTCACACAGAACTAGCTTATTTGGCGCAAGTGTAAATGGATCGTTGAACATTGCCACTGGTTTTAAATACACTTCTGAATTCACTCCTTCACCTTGACCTGTTGATGAACCATCAAAATTCCACCAGGAAATATCGTTTGATGACTGGGGCTCCTTGTCAAATGTACGTGTTTTGGCTATAATCATACGTAAGAGCCTCATTTATAATTCGTGAAATAGCAATATAATATACCTCGCATATTTTCTCCGGTTCCATCAATCCACACATAGGTAACCATCGTTTTCCCATCATTTTGTGGCAGAGCTAAATATTTACGAAGTATAGACTTGTCCATACCTGCTGTGTTAGTAAACACTGGATTGATCATGATTGAATATTTCCACTATCTACAAAAAATAACAATGATCGTATTTAAAACTATGTAAGAAATCCCATCGTTAATTTTCAGTATACTACAGATTTCGCATCGTAAAAAACAAATGATTAATTATGAATCATATTGTAAACGAGGATACTTTTCCGACAAGCATCTATCGTCTATCCTATCCTATGAGAAATTTTTTCAAAAGACGCACAATAAGTAAAAGTCAATCATTCAATACTGCTTTGAAATTGAGTTGTAGTTCAATCAGATCGGCTACGCACGAGAAAATGAAACAACTCAGTTGCCATAATCAGCAATGCTCATTTCACCCAAATGAAGCGAACCATGATATATCTATCTATCTAGTAATGAGAAAACAATAAAGTGAAGATCAAGATCGCATCAGAAAGTGTCAATTTTACTAAATTTTATTAAATATATTTGAATTTTTCACGTCTTACTAGACGTAGATATGAAGTTCTAATAGCAGTAGAAGAGTATAATACCGAGTTAGATGAAACCAAAATGAGAGATTCGTTTTGAGAACCCATTGCTGTTTTTGGTAATAAATTAGGTATTGAGAGTAAGAAAAAGAACGCATTTTCATTTTTATATGCATCTAAATTGATCAACAACACAATATTTTTCTCTCACTGTCCTTCAATAGTTAACTAAACATGCAATTCTTCAAGAGAAAAAAAACACGTTGTGTAAGAGGAGTCACAAAGAGTGTATTCAAAATGTCTGGGTGAAGGTTATGTGAATATGAGGATTCGAAGCTGAGTGAGTAAGGCGATGGGTGGCAGTGTCAGTAGGATCAGAGCTGTGAGGACCAATAAAGTTATCTTAGCTCTCAGTTTTACATCCACCGACATCGATTCTCAGCGTCACCGTCCGTCTTAACCTAAGCCTAGAGCCCGTTCGATTCAATATTCTTGAATTCTCCTATAGACTTGATTTTGTCATCGAATTCAATCAATTAATAACCTATTTTTTCACCTACACTGAAATAAAGAGTTTCGAACATCGTAACTAATTTAAAACCTTTTTAGGTTTTGTGTATTTCTATGAAATCTCAAAAAAGACTTGTCAAGCACCTAGAACACATTGTTAAGATTCTTGTATCAATGCGCGAAACCCACTTCAAGTTCTGTATCACACCATTTTTGTCTCGCATATTGTATTCACTGATGTCTGACTCTTTTCTCATTGGATTATAAACACTATATTGTTGGTTAAGCAGATTCTCTTAGATGGTAGTTGTATCTTCCAAAAAGAATCATGTCTATGCGTATTCACAACTCATTCATTATCTACATAAAAGGCTTATCATTTTTTTTATAAATTCTAGTTTCTAAAATCAATCGCTAAATAATATCCACATTTATGAATAATTAGGCACTTAAATTCAATTCTAATAGCGTCAAAGACATTTTAATTTTGTTGTTTTCTAACATGACACATACCATAACCTGATACCATACTAATACTCATTAGGACGATGCGACTTATTCGCTCTTGTCTTATGACAAAAATGAATATGAATATATGCAGTACGAGCAACAATAAAGCTAATATGGCATAAAAAGAAGAGAACCAAGAACAAATATGATCAACATGACATAAAAAAGAAAAGAAAAATATGATTGATGTATGAACACAAATGTATTGCCTAGTATGATCACCACCACGTGTGACGGAACTACTTACACGTTTCAGTTTTATTCCAAGAATGAATATAAATGCGTGCGACACGAACAACAAGATAAGACTAATATGGTATAAAAAGAAGAGAAAAAGAACAAAGATAAAGTCAACACAGCACAGCAAAACAAGAAAAGAAAAGATGATAGATGTATACACGCATCTATTTGTGTTTGGTAGACGTCTTTGAACATTGTCATGAAGAATATTGACGAATAGAATTCGTCACACTCATATCATATTAGAGATGTTTTTTATTCAGCCATCAAACATTTCAAAGTATACAATTAACTCGACTAGAGTAATAACAACATAAATATGATATTATTTATAGTATTTTAACAGCATAATACTAAAATTACCAAGATATTCTATGATGCCAGCTGATAATATATATTCCGTCTTTCGCTCAACAGCTGATATAAATTTTGATGTGAATATTTCTATTTTAAATTTCACACATAAACTTCATTTGCATAACAACGTATTATCGGATATAAAATAATATTGAATATGATCATCCATCGGAACTAACTGTGGTTTCTTCTGTGAGAGAGTTTGTACTCTCCAAATCTCTATTCATAATCTTTTGTACTGAATTTGCATCTTGAATAGATACCTCATTCATATTTCAATCGTGTTTCTTCTTTGTTCGAAAAAGAAAGTGGAGTTGGAATGTAATTGAATAGATCAGCATACGTAGCACATCAACATGACTTCTCTTTGGCAAGACGTTTAGAAAAAAAATTATGTTGGAACTATGCGTTACATCATTTTTTTTTGTTTTCGATCTTTGATTTATATTTAGTGCTTGTCTCATACATGCGGTTCTTCGATGTTTTCTATTCTTACTTTGACCAATTAAATCTATTAAAATTTTTCTTTTAATGACGTTGACTGCTCATAGTGTTCTCTTCACGAATGTGTTTGTTTTTTTTTCTACACATTATCGAGATGATGTAAAATCAGTTTGAAAGCATTTTTTGCTTCAGGATTGACGTAGAAAGTAGTATTTACCTGTGCCAACGACATTGATTGTGTTCTATTTGCTTTCAGATTTTTTTAATTTTCTCGTTAATACATCTTCAGGATAAAATCGTGAATTTCGTTTTCGCACCAAAATAGAGAAACAACTGATATCAAAATTATTTTCAATGAAATAATAGTGAAATTTATTGCTGAGTATCGATGTTCATGGCTGTCAATAAACGGTTACCAGCATCTCAGCTGAGTCTATGCAATTCACTCAAGCATGAAATACTGCTTGTTAATGACAATTAATAGAAAACCGTTTATAATCAGCAAGATATTGGACTTGATATCAACACATTAATCTATTCAAATAAATAAGGATTCGTCTTAGACTTAATGCATCTGAACAGTCCTTAGGACTGGGACCCTGCAAAAAATCAACTATTCTTCAAACGAATGTTGTCTGAACAACAACAAAAAACATTTAGGTGGTGTCGAGTCTTCTACTTTTGAAAAAAATAATGTAATTTGCGTCGAATTTGAATGGTAAAGAGAATTAAAAAAACATTGCTTTTTCTTGGCAGCAAAATCGATGTGTCATTCTTACTATTTATTTCGTTGTATATCGGCCTTGCGCAAGTGAAAAGAGAAATGCTAGCTGCTACTCTTATAATTTTCTTGGTTAAAGTAATTTTTAATGCTCTATAGTATCTTTGATCATTCAATTTACAGTTATTTGTTATATCATAACGCTTTTTTCTGGTAGTAAAGTTTTTCATAATATACTTTCAGTGAAGGTTGAGACCGAAAGAAAATACATACATGTATTCATAATTGAGTACTCAACCTTTTCAGAACTCAAACATTAATAAAAAAAAATGAACAGTTAAGATTACATTAATACAGAACTTTCGAACTTCTCAGAACTCTTAGAATCGACAAAAAACTCGAAAAACTCAAGGAGCTCAAGTCACGATGAGAACAGAAACAGTTAGAAAAAACTCTGAGAACTCTAAAAACTTCGATGAACTGTAAAAAATTGTGAATCTTTGAGCCCGGCCTTTACTTCCACATCAGACCAATCTGTCAGCACACCAACATCCATACCTATTGCTGTTAGAAGGAGGATGTTTCTGCTATTGTAATTGGAAATTTCTATCTGACAAGTATGCATTATTTTGCACAACGCGGCTTCAAAAGAGATTATCATAGCGATCTGAGTTGGCCAAACTAGCCTAATTGTTTTATAATTATCCAAGTAATTCATACATTACAGCGAAACTACGTGTTCTAAGTGTCTGGTGCCAATCAATCTAGTAAAATTGTGCCTGAAATCCAGAAATGCACTATAGACAGCGGATCTGAACGTGGGATGTGAGTGTGAGTCTTCAGTATGTATATACCTACGGTCACACTCCTGATGCCAATCAAACCATCGAATAATTCAAAACGATTGAACTAAATGATTTTAATAGTTCTGATCATCATCGCTGTGAATATGATTGCCAATCTAGTGATCGTGGCCATAGGTCTTTATTACAATAAATTGCCATCGAAATAAAACAATTTAAACTGATCGAAAGATGTGTCTTATACCTCGATGAACACATCGAAGTTGTTCGTACCTTAATTAAGGAAAATACGAACATTAACATTCGATCCATTTTATTTGAAACTGGCCTATCTTATGACACTAGTAGTAGAATTACTCATGATGAATTGAAATTGAAACCGTTGCGCATAAAATGAATATTAAATCAGCTAATCGAAAACAACACATATCAACAAAATCTTAATAAATGGGAACCTCGATCAATGACGCCAATCTGATATTATTACTGAAGAAGAAATATGAATTTATCATCATAACTTTGATTAGAAACAATTGAATATGACATGTTTTTTTCGAAACTAAACGCCTAACAACAATGGTTGCATGATGCCAATGTGAGGAAAAGAACATGTTTGCTATCTTATATAAAACAACAAAACTAAACTTAGTATGTCTATGATTGAATTCAGTAGTACAATTACTTGTTACTTACTACAAAGACAATTGTCAAAAACATTTGTTTGACAATATCAAAGAGGAAAGATCGAAGTTTGGTTTTCACGCTATAAAGCTGCAGCACTACGGTAATATAAGACTTTATAAAATATATAAGAAATAATAAATTGACAATTTATCGGCATCGCATTTATTTAATCGTTTTTCTGATCTACGAAATTGAAAATTGTCTAATAATGAATACTAAAATAATTTTTTTCTTCTTTTTGTTCTATTATGTTTCTTTATTTAATCGTTCATTTAAATAATATTCAAGATCATGATAATCAAAACAAAATATACATATCATTTGAATAACGAACAACAATTATTGAACTGAAAAATGTTTAGATATTTTTCGATCGTATTACAAGAAATACAAATCTATAAAATACTTTCGAAATATCTTTAATAGAATTGGAAATATATTATCGATTATTCTAGATCGATTCTTAGAGAAATTTAAAAAAAGCTTTTCAAAAAGATGACCAAATTATATTTTAAATCTATTGTCAATAAAGAAAAATGCGATGATGAACTTAATTTTAGATGATAATATCTGTATTTTTTTCTCTTCATCAAGATGAACCGGGTATTTCAATCATACAAAAACACGCATACATATATGTATATCTATATTACACATAGAAATGAGTTCAATAACAATATTTAACCTCGAAGTTGAAATCCAGGAGCTGGAGGTAATAATTGATCCATTGAATATGAATCATCATCACCACCACCTAATAGTTTTTCATACATTTTTCCGGCTGATGGTGGTTTAGGTTCATCTTGTACTGTGGCTGTACTTGATCCAGGTAAACGTTGAATACCTCCTCGAGTTGCTTTTTCTTTTTCTTCATTTCTTGATGGCCATGTTGGAAACATTGATGGATCTATTCGACGAGGACTTTCTTCAAAATATCCATGTTTTAATGCATTTATTGCTGAAATTCGTTTGCTTGGATCATAAGTTAAAAATCTGATAAAAAAAAAAAAAAAAACAAAATCAATCGTTCATTAAAGAATTTCAAATTAAAATTCTTACTTATTAAGAAGATCAAAACCTTTTTCCGATAAAGAAGCATCAAATCTGGCTCGTAATCGATTATATGGATAATTAGAAAAAGTCATTTTTTTTGTATATGGAAGTGTATTATATTCCGGCCAAATTTTTTCATTAGGTGTACCCAAATCTTTAAATATACGATTTAATTGATCTAATTCAGATTTACCAGGAAATAATGGTTTCATTAATAATAATTCACCAAATATTGCTCCAACACTCCACATATCAATTGGTGTAGAATATTGCTAAACAAATGAAGATTTTGTTTTCTTTTATTAAAATTTGATAATCTTACTTTATCTCCAAGTAATAATTCCGGTGCTCGATACCACAAAGTAACAACGATAGGTGTGTACGGTTTTAATGGTGAACCATATTCACGTGCAAGACCAAAATCACCAATCTTTATAAAATATAAAGATAAAATCATTGAAAATGAAAAAATACAATAAAAAAAAAAAAAAAAAAAAAAATTTTACTTTCAAAATTCCTTTATTACTAAGAAGAAGATTTGATGTTTTTAAATCTCTATGTATAATCCAATTATCATGTAAATGATTAACACCAGCTAATAATTGATACATTAATGTCTTAACTTCACCAATTGAAAATGGTTTTTTCATTGTATGTGTCATTAAACTTTTTAAATCATGTTCAACATAATCCATTACAATATAGATTCGATTCATATCATCACCAACAACTATTTCCTTAAATTAATAATAAACAATAAACTATAATAAACATAATAATTACATTAAAAGCTAATTTTATAGCTGAGATATTATATTTTATGATCGTAACAAATAAGAATATCTATCATCATTAAAATAACTTTTTATGTCATCAATATTAATCTATGAAAATATAGTTCTAAAGTAACTAGACTCTATACTCGAAAAGTTCTCTGTATGAACATTTCAAAGAGGCCTAAGCAGATGAAACTGGTTGAAATGATTGATCAACTTAAAATTCATGTTTTGGGCATATAGAAAGGGCCTCTAAAAATTAGAATTTCCTAAAAATTCCAGTGAAAATCATTAATTCTTTCGTAAAATAATCAAAGTTCAACAACCGATTAGATTCCATAAACTGTCAGAAAAATCGAAAGTTTTCAAACGTTAAATAATTATAAAAAAAAGAATCAATCGTTTTGACTAAGAGTTTTGCGATATTCTTAGAATCATAAGGCCTAACTATAGAAAAATTTTCAGGTCAAAAAATTCTCCTAACTCATTAGAAAAGGATAATGAATATACATATTTGCAAGTTTATTTTAGCTTTGAAGTTTTCTTTATAGACTCAAATTTGTATCCGACAACCGAGTCGAACATTCAGCACTTAATGAGATCTCGACGTTTCAAAATATTTTTACTTTTCAAACTATTAATTTATATATAAAAGCATAGGAGTGAAAACCGGTTCGATCATAATTGAGCCATTTATTGTACTTGAGAACAGACCACAGAAGTCGAAAGCGATATTGTTTTACTAAAATAATTCATTTTTAATAGAAATTCATCTATAGATGATGACTAATTATGAGGAAACCCATTCGACTGATAATATCTATTTGAGCTCATATTTTGCTCATGGATAACCATTACAGTGTAGATAATAATTCTGAGTGTTCGTGTATCATTAGGCTTTTCTTCTCGAGTTCTGATCATTTTAATGAATTTTCAGCTGCAATGGATGAGTTCTTTTTAAGATAGAGTATCCCTAAAAACACAGGCTTTTTCAAAAGCTGTTGTGTGAAAGTAATGCTGTTTGTAAGCGCGTTATCTCATGAAAAGAAATATCTGTTTGAACTAAAATCTTCAGAATGCTATAGGAGCTATTATTGAGCAGAACTTCAAATCGAAACTTCTTATTACGACTTTTCTCGTGATTGCTTTTTTGTACAATTTGAGATGATCTTTTTTTTGGCGCAGAAACTAATTAGTACACTTTTTCATATGGAATAAAAGTTTGAAAACAGTGCTGTAACTGTGAAAACATCTGCCGGATGTTGATTAGCCTTCGGGTCCGGTTGTAAAAACTCGTACTGATGCAGGACATTAGCCCGAAGTGTGAGCACAAGAATGATGAATTACTTTCGAGGGTTTTCTCATGAGCTTAAATATTTTTAAAATAAAAAATTCTTAACTTACTCTAACAGTACAAACATTTTGATGTTGAGATTTAAGAATACAACAAATTTCTCTTAATGATGTTATTGGAAAACCTTCTTTTTCTTTTTCCATTTTTAATCGTTTTAATGCAACTATTTCTCCTAAATAATAAACATTAAAAAATTAATTTAAATTGAAAATATATCTAACCTGTTTTTTTATCTTTGGCACGAAAAACAACTCCATAAGCTCCTTCTTCAATTCTATTTAAACATAAATATTCATCAACTCGACGACAACCTTGAATAGATGGATAATAATTAGGTAATTTTGGTTTTTCATCAATTAATTCTTTTTCAAATATAGAATTATTAGAAATGGGTGGTGTCATAGCAGATTTTGATGAAGATGAAGCTGGAGTTGATGATGAATGACGTCTTGATCGTTTTTGATGATGACGATGGCGACGATGGCGACGATGATGACGACGTCGATCACTTCCATTTTCATCGTCTTCTTCACGTTCTTCTTCATCTTCTTGAATGTCATCATCGTCATCATCCTGATCATCAAAACGACTTCGAGGTGGTGCAGGTGGTGCTGGTTCTTCTTCACCTTCTTCAGGTTCATCATCATCTTGAGAATGATCATCTAAAGAAAGAACAAAACACAAAGAGATAAAATAATTTGTTTACTTTAGTTTGTTTACCTGTTGATGAATTAACTCTTTGTCCTTTTTTATCTTTATCTTCTTCAGTTGTTGTGACTGATTGATGTTCTTCTTTTGAATGATGATCATCACTTGCATCAGATATTGATTCTAGAATAAATGAAAATTAAAAAAATTAAAAAAACTCTATTGATATAATATTAACCTGCTTCTTCACCTTCTTCTGATGGTGATCTTTGTTCTTGAGATGAATTTCTTCTTCGATATTCTTTTCGTCTATGTTTTAATGAATCTTCATCAAAATTATCATCGGATATTGATGATCCACTTGATGAATGACGACGTTTTGATCGTTCTTCATCACTTGAATCTCAAAAAAAAAACAAAAAATAATAATAATTAAACTTTATTATTTAAATAAAAAAGAAAATTTTACTTCGTTTATGTGTTTTTTTATTAATATCTTGTTGTTGATTATTAGGTAAATAATCCATTTCACCTTCTTCTTTTTCATTATCATCATCATCTTCATCATCATCATCAACTATTTCTGAATGATATAAATCACTATTAAAAGTTCCGGATTGTTTTTCACTTGTTATAGTTATTGGTTTTGAATGAGAAGATTTATTTGTTGTTGATGTATTATAAAATGATTTTTGACTAACTTGACGAACCGATGATTTTAATGTTTTATTTGATGTTGATGATGGTTCTTCATAAATAACTGTACGTGATGGAATTTGAGTTGAACTACTCATACGATTTCGATCATCATCTGATTGACGAGAATGCGATGAACTTTTGTAATTATTATGTTCTATTTCATATAGATATATAATTATGTTTAGAATATATTTATTTTTTAATTAACTTACTATTACTCATTATTTGATTTTAAAAAATCTAAAATAGATTAAAAAAAAAAGATGAGTGCCTTTTTCAAAAAAAACTCTATAAATAATATTTGACCGACAATTTGACTTTAATACTAAAAAAAAGCATAATCAATCTTAAATATAATGGAATATTATTAGAAAGAATCGAAACTTTGTTATATTTATATGATTTACAAAATAAGAATGTTTGCTAAAGTTTTTCATGGAATTGAGTAACACAAAAAAAATTCATCTGATGTAACAATTTGTATTTAAATTGAACTATCCATTTTTTTTTTTCTGAAATCTCAATAATGAAGATGAATACATATTAATCTATAGTTAATTTATATTTAAATTTCATTATAATATATTGATACGATAGAGTAATAGATGACAATTTTGAAAATATTTCACAAAACTTTGCTTTAGAAAACTGAAACATTCCAAGTACTATCATTAGTCAAGTTCCATAATTGACATGTCTTATGTAACTATTGTAGCTCTTTACATAATACAATTAATAATGTTTTTCTATAATGCAAAACAAAAACAAAGGTTTCTATTTTAAAAGAAATTTCTAAAAAAAAGAATTCTTGTTTTTCGCTCAGAAATAATTCTTAAAAATAAAAATGATCATCAATCTGATATATCTATAAAATCTGACACATGACATCTTATATTCTTAATCCCTAAATAGGGTATTCTCGAAATCAACGACACTATATGCTAATAGCTCTAACTGCTGAAGCAGAGCAAAGATTATGAATGCTACGGTCTTGCTGATCTGTAGATGTACCCAGTAATATGACTGTATATGAGTAGTTTATATTTAAATGGCTTCTATTAATCTTAATTGTTCAAAAGTTGGAATATCCGTTAAGAAATGAAACACCAATTAACCTTACGTAAAGAATATCTTTTATGAAACAAAAAAATTCAAATAGATTTACCTACAAACTTTATTTTTAGCCACTTAAGCATAGTTGAGAAGAGGAAAAAGACGTTTGATTAAACAATTCTATTAATTTTTTTTAAATCACAGAAAAGCCATAAAGAAAACTAATTGATAAACACAGAAGAGTACTTTTTCTTTGAAATTACATGATGAAAAAATTTTTCTTTCTTTTCGTAATAATTTCTGATTGATTTTTGATTTAACCCATCAATAAACGAGTAAAATATATT